GAGATTCGCCGACGGTACCAGGGAGAATGGGATGGCTGCTGTACAATGGATGGACGAATACTACGAGCAATTCCTGCGGGATACGTAGAAGCAGACATATTGGGTTATCTCGACAGTTTCGAGATTCTAGTGCATGGCTTTGGAGTTTGAGGGGAATTCAAGGTATCAACCTGGCAGAGATAGATTCATGACTATGATAACCGCTGTTTCCTACCATCATGGTAATAATTCACGTGTCGAATGTAAGTCTTGGCTTCAGCGTATCGCAACCATGGTTATGGCAACAAAGCTCTCGTCCATGGAAACACGTATACATCTTTGGTAAGCCCTTCTCTTGCGGGCTTGGCATTAACCAGACGGACGCCTATCTCCAGCATATGTCCGCTGCAACTAGTCAGTCTTCTGCATGTGTCTCTCCCCCACTCTTATCAATATTTCCTCTTTGAGACTTCCGCTTTATCAATCAAGGTCGCTTGCAGCGCGATCCTTCGGGCCCCAATGTGCTGCACGCTTGGTTCACACCTTTTATGCGCTACGCTACTGATCTGTTCGGTGGCGATAGGTAAGATAGACGCATGTGCACGGGGTTCAAAGATGGGAGGCTCAGTGGCGTTGTACATGCACGAGTAACAGCTCAGACGTTAATAACAGGATGCTACTTAAAGCCATCGCGCTTTACCGAGCAAATGCCAATACAATAGCCAGCCAGCATCTTCTCTAGTATTTTCGACCTTCCCAGGTCTACCCTTGCTTCTGTGCGCACCTTGCCATGCCAGTCGAGCAGCAGAAAGACACCACCATGATTGAAGAGAAGCCCCGAAGGCTATCCGGTTCGAGCACATCGAAAGAAGAAGCTGGTATAGTCATTGACACTTTCGACAAGAACATCGAGAGCGCCTATGGTATGTTCTGACTTATCATTACCACAAAATGACCACATATTGATAAATCATGCAGTTCGAAAGCTCGACTTCTATCTGCTACCATTTCTCTCGCTGATGTATTTTTTCAACAGGTGGGTTCATCTCCCTTGTATTCTGATCTTATGGCAGACTGACCCGGCACAAGCGTTGACCGATCGAACCTGGGCAATGCGAAGACAGATGGGATGGACAAGGACCTCGGCTTTACCGGCGAACAGTATAGCTTGTTGATCCTGATATTCTACATCCCGAACGGACTGTGCGATCTTCCACTCAACATGTTGACGAAGAAGTGGAGTGGTAGAGTTATGCTTCCGACTTGTAAGTCCATCTTCTTAGATCACGCAACATGAGCTGACGATAAACTACAGTGATGGTAGGGTGGGGCGCGATGGCTCTCTTCCAATGCGCAGCACACAACTTCGCAGGCATGCTCGTAATTCGTCTCCTCCTCGGTGCTTTCGAGGCCGGATTCTTCGCTGGCGTCGTCTTCTACCTCACGCTCTTCTACACGCGCGGCGAACTCGGCTTCCGCATCGCACTATTCTTTGGCAGTGCACTTCTTGCCGGTGCTTTCAGCGGCCTCATCTCCTTCGGCGTCTTTCAGATCGAGCATACCAACATTCCCGGCTGGAAGTTTCTCTTCATCATAGAGGGCGCTCTTACTGTGGTCCTCGCTTTGATAGCGTATGCCTGGTTGCCAGCGACTCCTCAATCGGCGTGGTTCTTGAACGAGGCTGAACGCAACGTAGCCGAGCGTCGCACACTGCGCGATCTATCCTCGTCCGGCTCCCACGAGTTCAACATGCGAGAGTGTTTCAAGGAGTGGAACACGTGGAAGATGCTTCCTTGGTGCATCATCGCCTTCACCTACCCTGTAGCTTTCAGCACGACCTCGAACTTTCTGCCTCAGATCGTCCAACGCCTCGGATTCTCTGTCATCAAGACCAATCTCTGGACCGTAGCGCCAAACGCGGTGGGCTTCGTCGTCTTGCTCTGCATAACGTACAGCAGCGACTTCTTCCGCGAACGCACGTTCCACATCTGCGGCGCTCTTTGCATTTCGCTCGCCGGACTCATCATTCTCGCAACCATCGACGTTCTCAACAACAAAGCCGTCGCATATTTCGCTTGCTTTTTGTTATGTGCAGGCGCGTACGTACCTTCCTGTCTCGTACACTCTTGGCACAACAACAACAATCTCAATGAGAACGCTCGCGCTGCTACGACCGGCCTCATGGTCGGACTCGGCAATCTTGGAGGCATCGTCTCCGCTGCAACCTTTAGACAAGAGTACGCGCCAAAGTATCTGCCGACGCTTTATGCAACTGCGGCTTGTAATGTTACGTGTATCTGCTTCACACTGTGGCTGGGAGGGTGGATGAAGCTGGAGAATCGACGGAGAGATAAGGTGCAAGGTGTTAGACTGAGGGCGGATGATGTTAGAACTAGCGAGTTGGGCGACGGGGAAGAGAGTGAGATGTGGAGATACTTCACTTAGGCAGGGCTGCATCGTTTATCTTTCTGGGTGACTTCGAGAGGTTGCGCGGATGGAATGTATACACGAATGCAACCTCATTCTTTGCAAGAGTCACCGGTTGGATTGCTTTGCGTTCCGCTGTTCCCGCCCTCAAGCAATGGCGTTGACACCGCCCGATGCGGTAAGCGCAGCCACTAGCACGCACGGCCTTCTTCGATCCACATTTTCCTTCGAGATAGCAGCCCCAATTGTCGTCGCGTTGCCATACCCTTCACGCGTCCATTTCGATGATTCATCGCACATTCCTTATCATTGATGCACTTTGACACTCTCTGGCGCAGTCTTGCACTCGGTTCACACGCAAGTTGCCGAGCATGGCTTGCTTCACGAAATACAGCAACGTCATCGCTGGGACAAAGCTGGAACAGCAAGGTTCTAGTCTCGCGCAGGCCAGCAGGCATACAGTTCTCGTCGTCACGGTGGTCGTCGCAAGGGTTGCAGAAGCGAGATGATGAGGAAGAGACGCGTGCCACCCAGCAACAGGACCCATCAATGGGCGATGGGACAGCCCTGGATACAAGTACGAAGCACGATGCAGATGTTGTACACGAAGTGACATCAGAGGCTAAGTCACGGCATGAAGCTGCAATTCATTCACTTAGCGCTGCGATCGACGACGACAAAAGCCTCCCGACCGCGATGCCATGGATGCATTACGTTAAACTCTTACCTACACCCTCTGATAAGAGAGCAGCGGCTCTTGCATTGTTGGAGATTTTGCGGCCTCATATCATAGTGACGAGATCATTGTATAAGCGCACAGTGCCAGGACAAAAGGCACCACGGGATCGCTTAAGGCGCCGACTCCGGCTCTTGTGTAAGCACAAAGATCATATCGTTGAATATGAGAAGCAGATCAAAGCAAGTGACGAGACTCCTGGCACGAATCTAGAGGGGGAGAAGGCGGAGCCCCGAAAATCTTTCACGCAATTCGTTGAGAGGTCGCTTGCCAATGATGAGTACATGGCAAAAGGTTGGTTCAGGCGCGTTGCCCCAAGGCTACCGCCGGATGAGCAAACGAGGCTCTTTCGTGAATCGACCGCGATACTGTTGGCGAAGGCACGAGAATACGAAACTAGGGGCTCAGCAAAGAGCCTTCAGAAACGCACGATTACTGCACTCCTGCACGGCATCGACCAATCGTACCGACAGCTTCGAATACTCGGGCATGCATCCATCGATACTGCGACGTTGAGGCGGCCCTTTAATCCGTTCACAAGAGCCTCTCACTCTACTCTACGACAGGAGATTCAAGAGATGGAGCGTTGGCGCGCAGCTCAGAGTTCATTCTATAATGAAACACTGGAGGACCTGAAGCCAACCACAAAGCTTGATGGGATGTCAAAACATGTCCTTGAAAAGCAAAGCAAGGTTACTAGCCTTAAGCTGCTCTTTTCCCGCGACTATCTTGAGAGACTCCGTGCAGAAAACAAGTCTGTGTTGTCAATCGAGCCAGAGACAGACATAACAGTTCAGCAGTTGGGCTCTAGTCCGGAGTTCACTCGGGCCCGTGGAGCTTCGAAACCCGTCATGGTCATGGTGCCGTACCAAGTCCAACACCACATTCTGGGGGATGTTCATGAACGGTTCAAACGAGCCATATTCGTATTTGGCCGACGTTATTTTCCCGATGTAATGCAAGAGAAGAACTTGAATGACCCCGAAGGTTTATCTATCTGGGACTTTGAAAAACTCCTAAGCGAGGACGAACATTGGCGCCACCTCTATAAGATCATCCAGAGAAGGCTTGAATCACTTCGCTTCATCCGCAATGCGTATGCACACGAGTTCTCGGAGGTGAATCTGGACCGTCTTGAGGAGTTGCTTGCCGATGCTCAGAGCATTGCTTGGCTTGTCGAAGATAGCTCCCTCGTCATTCTGACGCAAAAGTACAGAGATCTGCTAACAGTATATGGCAAGAGGTATTTAGATGAGTGCGCTGGCCCGAGGCAGTTGGCCGCCCAGAGATATTCGGCCGCAAACAAGCAGCTCAAGATTGCGAAAACTCGATTGTATCACTCCTGTACATCAACCCACACGAAGCGGTATCGGGCAGAGAAATCACGTATCGAGCGCGTACACCAGAAGTCAAAGGCCGCCGCCAGAGCAGAGTACGTTCAGTTTGAGCTGAACTTGGCTAGCGAGCTAAAGGCCTTTGCGCTCGGTTCGTCCATTCGATATCGCTTGGGGTTAGGTGACTCGTCCTGGGCTGCTAGTCTGGTGAAAACACTCTATGAAGAATACGCAACCACGCACGATAGCCCGACAACTGAATCGACTGCCGAGGTCACCAAACACGCAGAGAATATGCGCACGTCCACCACTGTTTCGGGTACTTCGACTCCTAGTCCCCGATCCTCGACTGCCAACGATGATAGCCCGGCCAGATCAGCAGAGGTGAACGCAAAGTGGCCATATAAGAAGCCTGTAAGGACTCTGGGTCACCGTCATAGATGGCTTGGAATTACACGGAGAGAAGGAAGCGACTAGGTGCCGAGGAGATAGATGTCGCGATGGAATTTTTAGATCTTGGCATTTCATAGGCCGCCGCTACCGCCAACTAAACGCCACTGTACAAGCCCTCTAAGAACCATCATGCCATCATGAACGACAGCCCACCGTACCTTACTCAAACACTTGCTCACTACAGCTGCGAGGCCATTCGTCCCCCTCTTCCCCATACCGCCAGCGAAAACGCCTTCCCTGCCGGGTTCAAGCAGCTTCTCAGGCTGAGCTACGAGAATAGCGCCAAGCAATGTCTTCATTTCTGCAGCAGGATCCCAGATAATCTCATCCTCATCGTCAAGATGCTGAAGATGCTGCGGCAATTGGTTTCCAGATGGTGGTGGTGGAGATGGCCGAGCATACCATACGCCCCATACCACCAACGTACCAAGGTACACGGCCCAAGGGTGGTGCCAAAGTCTCCCTCCACTAATGTCTGAACAGCTCAGGTCACCGTCAAGAACTTCCACGCCTTCGCTGACGAGGGCGGCGGCGTGCCAGACTGCTTTCCCGGCTTCTTCTGTGTTTTCCGCTACCCATTTTTTGACTACACGCTGAGAGCGTGCGTAGTCATGGCGCGCGACTGGGCGGCCGAGAATATGTCGCGATCCGGCGTAGATTTGGAGATCCAGGAAGGGTGTGTGGAGCAGGATGTGCGCGGCGTGATAGAGCGCTAGTGTGGCGGTGCGGCACACGTGGAATTCCTTAGCGAGGAAGAGTGTAGATGACGGAAGCGACGAAAGATATGAGGCGCAGAAGGTAGTGTAATCCGCGTGCCACGCGGAATATGAGGCCGCGAGACGAGCTTGCCAATTGCCGAGTGGGTTTGACTCAATCACGCCCAGCGATGTCTGGTCGCGCCGTTGCATATCCCATGCTACAGACATTAGGCCATGTAGAAGCAACGACCGGGACAACGCGTTCAGGTTCTTGGGGATAGTCGCAGCATCGGGGTGAAGATACATCTTCAGACACGATAGAAACAGTGGGGTCATTGGCTGCTTCTGTCGCAACTGATGCCATGTCTCGGCTGAGTCTGCCTCCCAGATAGCCTGATCGCATGGCATGTTGGAACGCAGCTCGAAAGCGGACATGCAGAGCGACTGGCAAAAAAGCACTGCGTGTTGCGTATCCCACATGAAGCATAGGAACGCCAGCCTGCGCACTTTGAGCTAGGTGCCGTGAGGGTTCAGTTGATGAATACATACCTCTTCTTTTGCTCTGCTTCGCACCATGTCCGCCAGTCATCTTCAAGATCATCTGTGGCTTCTTCCGGTGTTGGTGGCCGGATACTTTGGCAATCGCTCCGCCGAATGAGATTGATGAGTAAGCCGTGGAAAAGATGCGACATGTCGTGTTGCTTTTGTCCAGCTCTGCTTTTACCGAAACACTCGACCAATAGGATAGTTTGAAGAACCCAGAGATCTGGCTTCGCCGAAAAGCCGGCATTGGCAAAGATCTGTGGCCGCAGCACGTCGTGGATGCATACCTAGTTCGAGTCAGTCGGATCTTAAACAGCATCTTACGTGTTCACTTACTGCGAGCTGGTGTGCGTCTTTCTCTCCATATGTTGCGCCTAACAGCAAGACTGATACAAGAAGAAGTGTGTCGACCTCCGATGGGTCAAAAGTAGACATATGTATCAACGGATATGTGGTGTTGAAACGCGTGAAGAACAGGTCGCAGTATGTTTGCAAGCATGATAACGAGAGCAGCGGGTGGTCTCGCATGACTATACTACCATCTGGTACTGTAGGTTGTACGATGTCAATAAGATCAAGCAACTGCTGACGAGCTAACTCATCAATGATTGGTAGGCTTCGCGATGGTTGCAGTAAAGACAGTGGTCGCTCAACGTCGAGGGAAGCATTGTTGTCTGTCGCTAATCCGGAGGGCTCGTAATTAGATGGCGAACCAACCATTTTGTTTGCTTCATCAATTGGCGGCGTGATTAATTGTGCAGTTGACGAATGGTGGTGCTGGCGGTGAAGAGACTCATTTGGTTGGGACGGAAGTGAGCCAAACTGGCCGACCGTCGATAGCGAACCTTCCATGTCCACCTGTTCCAATTGAAAATCTAAACCTTGGATCGATTGAGATACCGCATTATCCTCAAAGGGTAGGGCGGGGAATGGGTCTTCTATGATCGGTTGTTGAGCCTGATCGTTCCTCGTCCAGTCCATATCAAAGAGCCAATTGTAGTTACTCATGGTTGTGAAGGGCGCATTAAAGGAACTCGCTGTATCTGGATTAAATATCTCGTCAAATGGCGCATTGTCGTAAACCGCAGAGGTAAATGGCTCGGCTGATGATTGCGTGTTATTGGCGGACCAGAAGCGCTGATCTGTGGGCGAGTGTGAACTAGATGAAGGAATGCTATTTGGATCGAGGTTTGTTTGGGGGTAGTTGATTCCTATGCCTGAGTCTCTGTCGTCCAATGAATGGGGTAGAGATGGCCCATTCGATGTAGGTGGTGATATAGGAACACCCTGATATGTTGCGAACTCGGCGAAGTCTGGCATTGACTGCAAGAGGTCCTCGGTTTGCGATAGCGACAGCGACCCGGTCCTCTGACCGTCTTTAGATAGATTGGGCTTCTTCGTGACTATCTTGCCTTCGGCATCTTTCCACATTCGCTTTCGGGTATTGAGCACTCCACAACCCTCAGCGCCGGCTTCTTCGTCTTTTTGGCGATGGCGACTGATGTGCCTCTCTGCGCAAATGGGTTAGTGACTACGATCAATAATAGAGCAACGGCGCGATGCTACAAAGCAGATGCGAGAACCAACAAACAAGAGCTTAGGTGCTGTATTTCATAGAAAGCTGTTTCATCTAGTAGCACGAAAGGAGCGCGGCATCTTGTGGGCATGTAGTTCCGTGCGTCTCAGCGAAGAGCAGCTCATGGGCAAAAACAGCCATGCATTCTCGGAGCCAAGGAAAGAGTGCATCATTCTTACCAAGAAGATCTCTCCGCTTAAAGTGAGCCCTGCATCGATCACAAGTGTACTCTCCCGTCGAATGATTCAGCAAATGCCTTTGCAGATGCTCGGCCCTAGTGAAAGACCGCCCACACCCATCATTCGTGCAGACAAACTTCTTCCCTTCATTCTTGCTCAAATTCCTTCTCTTTCGCCCGCGGGTCCCTGAGCTCGCACTGTCGACAGTAGTGGATGCCATAGCGCAAAACCGGAGAGATTATTTCGATGATCTGATCAAAGGATGGGGGCACTGGAGATGAAATGGGGTGAAGGGAGGCTCACGACTCCGCTTCACGGAATGCTATACGATATCGCGTCGGATAGAGGCATGCTTATCGGGGTCGAGAAGTCCGACTATCGCGGCCGAGTGTGGAGTTGAGTCGTGCCGCTAGTGGGCGGGGTTACGCGTGGTGGCGTAGCTTTGGGAACGCATTTCCAAGAGTGGGGGTGAGGTTTCCCAACGCCATCAACATCCATCATCAAGCGCGTTCCTTCCATCTTGGTTTCTGTGTGTCGGCCTGGCAAACGGCAGCAGGCACGTAGGCTGTGGTTGACGACGCTGCTCGATTGTCGGGCGCGTCAGCAGCAAGGCGCGGAGAATTTGCGGTTATCTCCGCCGCGCGTAGTTCGCATGGAGATAGACCATGGTGGCCTCATGTGGAGCTGTCATATTGGAGGACACGGGAGTTCTAGGAACTTGTTCAGGCAAGCTGCATTGATGCAAGGGGTGCGGTTGGTGTTGGTAGCTGCTCTATCATGGCCCGACGCGACTTCCTTGACACACTGCCGCGCGACCATTAGTCATGCCACCGCTGAGGTCATCGCTACCGGCTTCGCTTTCCGATAAGCTGCGCGATAGGCTTTTCTCAACCGACGGAGTTGTGGTGAAGGCTATCGGAAAAGATCCAACGTATTCGCTGTAGGAGGTGTTGAAACGGGCGATAGCATCAACTTATGTTCTTGCCAAGCAAAGGGTAGCACGCGGGCGGGACACGTCAAACCTCGCAAAAGCAATGCGCAAGAGAGGCGCCATGCTTGAATGGATACCTGTATTAAATGAAATGATATATGGAATGGTGAACGCGTGTTCCCATACCCATGATCACGCTACAGCAACCAAGAAATTCGTCTCACCCTCTTTCTTTACCGTTCTTGCCCGGTCAACAAGGTCATCTCCAACCGCCAACCTCAGCCTCTCACAGGTCGCCGGACTATCCAAATTCCACCCCTCGTCATTCTTCCCGTTCATCTTCCTCGCTGCCAACACCGCCTCTCTCAGCGCGAAGAAGACCGTTGATCCCAGGAAGAGCGGTGGCTCCCCAATACCCTTGGAACTTTGAACACTCCTCAAGTGGTTCCACGACAGCGGGTTGCCGTCGTTATCGTGGCGAAGCATACTGGCGTTGAAGACCTGCGGAATGTCGCTGAAGCCGGGGATCTTGTATGTTCCGGGACCCCGAGTGAAGAGCTGGCCGTTTCGAGTCCAGAGTGTCTCTTCGATGGTGAAGAGACCTTGGCCTTGGATGAATGCGCCTTCAATCTGTCCGTAATCGATCGCTGGGTTGATGGAGTTACCGACGTCCTGCAGTGTTGTTAGCATGTTGAAATGAATGCATCGGCATGCGCGCTTACCATCATGATATCTGCTCGTAGCACGGTGTGGTCGCCAGTGAGTAGGTCAAGTTCGACTTCGGAGCAGCACGCTCCTTGGGTCCAGTAGTAGTACATAGGCTTGACGGTGTCCAAATTTGTATCGCCCCACGTATACCCGACCTTTGGCATCTTCCAAAAGCCATTCGCAGCGAGGTTAACACGATCGACATAAGCTGCATGAGCGAGCGCCTTCAGTGGCGCGTCTTTCCCTAGCTTCTCGCGATATGGTCTCAAACGTTCGTTGATTTGATCACATGCGTTCTTGACAGCCATGCCATTCAAATCGGATCCGGATGACGCAGCGGTAGGGGATGCGTTCGCAATCTGGTATGTCTGACTATCCTGGGTGTAGATGGCATCGAGCGGGGTGCCAAGCTCTTGTGCTGCTATCTGACACATCTTGGTGTAGAGACCCTGACCCATCTCTGTTCCTCCATGATGCAAGAGTACACTGCCATCATGGTAGATCTTGATGTAAGCGCCAGCCTGATTGAGATGGAGAGCCGTGGCAAAGCTAAGACCGAACTTTGAAGGAACGAGGCAGATGCCTCGCTTTCTCCATCGGTTCTTTGAGTTGAAGTCTTTGATAGCAGCTTTCCGATTCTCGTAGTCGGCAGACTTGCTCAGCTGGTGCAAAAGCATAGGAACGTGCCAGTCCTCGTCGATCTTTTGGAAAAATGGGGTGTGTTGTCCAGGCTTGTACAGATTCTTCAATCGTAGTTCGTCCACATCCATGCCCAGACCTTCAGCAATGTTGTACATGACGGTTTCAGAGAAGTACATGCCTTGTGGCGCTCCAAAACCTCTGTATGCAGTGTTGCTGTGGATGTTGGTCCTGCACACGTGGCCACGCAAGAACACATTTGGACACTCGTATGAGTTGTCAAAATGCGTCAGACATCGATCCATGACTGCTCCGCTCATGTCTTGAGAGAAGCCAGCGTTGTTGTAGACATCAGCTTCAAGCGCAATGAGCTTGCCTTCTTTCGACACACCGACCTTCCAACGAGCTTGGAAAGGATGTCTCTGGCCGCTGAGTAGCATGTCTTCATCGCGGTTCAGCATGATGTGCACTGGCCGCTTTTCCTTCCTAGCAGCTATCGCTGTGTATACGGCGAACGGCACGCTGCGAGACTCCTTGCCACCGAAACCGCCTCCCATGCGCTTCACGCGAGCATTGACGCGGTTGCTTGGCACACCCAACACCGAGCTAACAAACTCTTGAGTTTCCATGGTGTTCTGTGTCGACGACCAGACCTCCATAGCCCCGTCTTCCCCGGAAGGTATAGAAAGCGCTGCATTCGTTTCGAGGTAGAAGTGCTCCTGCCCGCCTAGCCGGCTTACACCTTCGAATATCTTGTCGCATTGGGCGAAGGCGTCACCCATCTTGTCATCGATTGCAAGACCTTTCCTCAGATTCTTCCCATGCGGAAAGTAGCTTCGGGCCGCGATAGCTTCGTCGATAGTGAGAATGGGGGGTAGTTCTTCGTATTCGACCTTCACAGCCCGCACGGCCGCTTGTGCTTCCAAGGCCGACTCTGCGTAAATCATTCCAATGACCTGACCGTGATAGAGAACTTTGTCTTCAGCAAAGAACGCTTCGTCCTTCTTGATTGAGCCCCAGATGTTGACATCCGCGGGTATGCTATGGCGATCGATGTAGCCAACAACACCAGGCAGCCCAAGCGCTCGCTCCCAATCGATGCTCATAATTTTGGCG